ATTTGCCATAGAAAACACCTTAGATCATTACTGAACATTTATTGGCCTCATGGAACAATATCCAATGCAAACTTATAGTTATACCTAAGATGTAAGTCAGTATGCAGTAAAGCTATCAGATCGACGATCGTGTCCCTAAAGCAAGGTGGAAGCTCCTAGGTCATATCTTGCGTAGTGCTGATGACTCCCCCGCTGCATTAGCGTTAAAGTTTGCTGTCACAACAAACTGTAAAGGGCGCGTCGGTGCGCATCGTAAGAATTTGTTCAAGATTATTGTGAATGATTTGACCCGTAGAGGTTTAAAACTTAACTCTTTGAATGATCTTAATAAGCTTAAGATATTAGCCGAATGCCGATGATATAGTTGCTTGGAGAAACAAATTTTCACTCTAGCTGTCTTGATCTGTACTGATCACCATTTTAGGATGACTTGATTTCTTTTAGGGGTTTTGAATATTGCAATGGTGTAAACAGTTCCTTAATAATAGGAGCTGAGACACAACCATTCTGAGTCATCGTTGTCGTCATCCAGCACATAGCATTCTGTGGCCTGATCGTATCTGCTACCGACGTTCTCCCAAGGATGGTCTCTATCATCTTTGATAAGTGGGTGCTAGGAAACTTCTTCTGCAGAAATATTTTATCATTATATGTATATATATATATATTTCATTGCTGAACTTCTACACAGTAAAAAAAGCGGTTTTGACAGGATCCTCGTAATTCTTTGCATCATTTATTAACATCAATTCTATAGAATATATACATATTTGTTTTCAGCATGCAAAAAGTGTGATGAAGACAATGAAACTACAGCACAATATCTCACAAGCTGTACAGTATCCTCCTTACACAGGAAATACTACTTTGGTAACTATACCGTCAGAGTGAGAGAGGACACCTTCCATCACACCTTCTCTATCAGTAACATTGTGGGGTTCGCTAGAGCTACCAAGTATCTAGATTTCTATGAACCTTCTTAAAGTCTCTTTTATATTAGCCTTAGTAATCGAAATTGTCCCTCTAACACGATCACCCTCCCCTCCCCAGATTGTTCCCAGACTTGCAACAGGTCCTGCTAGCCCAAGATGTGAAGTTCGTACGGTACGTACCTTTAAATTAGCTGTACGGTACGTACTTAATAAAGTAGGCTGAAAGGTACAAATCCAGTTGATAGCAATGGAAACAAGTTGGCCCAAATAGTATTCAGTGTTTTAAGTCCTTCGTCAATTTGTGAGACTAATTTTAGAGATTACGAGTATATTATGGACAAGCGTAGATTAAGGTTGCGACCTGAGCTAGCTGAAAAGCTGGTGTTCGTATACTGCAACAAAAGGATTGAATTTAATGATAATTACAAGTAGTAGTAGTGTAGTACCGGTTAAGAGCGATCCGGTACACATATTTTCCTCTTAAATCTTTTATTGTTTTAACCACTGTGTTTATTTTCGACTTCTATCTCAAAAATTATGATGATAATACTAATCAAAAATTGCAAGTTATTCACTGAAGTTGATTCTAAAAATTTGAAAAAAAAATTGTACCTTACAGTGCCTGTACGGTACGTACCTTTAAAAGTAGCTGTACCGTACGTACTTAAAGCCCTGTACCGTACGTACTTGCCATCTAAGCTGCTAGCCAGCCAGTTCTAAGGGCGTCCACAGGACAGTCGGCACTTCTAGCTTGACCCAATGCTTGTCTCTCTCTCTCTCTCCCCTCCCCTAATTTTTCTAGATTGTGGAAGGGACAACCATGTTTCTTACTCAGCTTCCCTTATGTGTTTCATTGACCTCTTCAGCCCTTTAAATTTATCTTTTGACATGACATCTCCCAGGACCTCCCAGGACCATAGTATACCATACCAGACATTTCTTTAACTCCTCGATACAGCAAGGCTACTAAAACACGGAGAAGAAAAGAAATAGAGACAAGATTACGGCAACCATGGACTCTTACAAAAGACTAACTGAAGAAACATCCCGGTTTGATCTTTCTGAACTATAAATCTTATATCGGTATAGTATTGTTATCTATTTCTACCTATTGTTGCCTTTTTATCTTTGCTAGTTAATCAGGTTTTTGGGTGCCGGGCCATCCTGGTTACCCTGCTATGGGCCGTTCCCCTGGCTTATGCAGGTCTAGTTTACCCATATTTATGTATATATTCTATAGAATTGATGTTAATTATAAATGATGCAAAGAATTACGAGGATCTAATCAAATCCGCTTTTTTTATTGTGCATTTTATATATTATATATATACCCTCAGACTCAAGCTAAAGATCAAGCTGGATATCATTATCTCAAAAGAAAAGAGAAATTATAAGAAAATATTAGATATAGTTCTTATGCAAAAAATTATGGCTCATTTTTCTTCTTGGCGCGTTGCACATGCAATAAAACTTATCCATTTTCGAAAATACTTTATCAGTACATAACCAACGTGGAAACTTCTACAAGTCATGGTATTCAAATATTGATATATGAATGATGAATATTAATTAATACTATCGATATTTATTTATCAACATAATTGTCCTGACACAGGGATTTTAGTCGAATAGCTACAGATGACAACAGTCCTTACAGCCACAGTCTTCTGCTTGTCTCTCCTACCATATGTTGCTTACCATGTTGGGGAATCCATTGTTAGTGTTGATGACAAGAGCAAGAGTTCATTCCACACCACGTTCTTTAGAGTTGCACTGTCGCTCCTGTCTTTAAACACCATCAGCAACTTCTACATTTATAGTCTGGCCGTTTCTAGCTTCAGAGCATTTATCCGGTCAAAGATGCAGCTGTCTTATCAGTACATAACCAACGTGGAAACTTCTACAAGTCATGGTATTCAAATATTGATATATGAATGATGACTGCTTATGGCATTAAAAGTGATGCTATAAGATACACTTGGGCCGGATACTATCTATTCGTCATTGCCTCATCTTTAATAGGAGACACAACCATTCTCATAGCATCCATAAAGTACAAGGCATTTAAACTTCACCGAGTCATCACTGTCATCATCCAGCACATAGCAGTTTGTGACCTGATTGTATCTGCTACCGACGTTCTCCCAAGGATGGTCTCTGTCATCTTTGATAAGTGGGTCCTAGGAAACTTCTTCTGCTACTTGATATCCTATGCAAGTTACTATTCCAACGTGACGAGTGTGTTTCTTATCTGTGCCATGACAACCAGCAAGCTGCTCCTCCTGAAATATCCCCTCCAATTTGGAACAACCACTTCGAAGAAAGCACACTTGATCTGCGTGACATGTTGGTTGGCAGCTTTCACCTTACCTATGACACTCCTTCTCGTAGATAAAGACGATGTTTTCTTTTCAATTCAGGGCTATGGATGCGATTATGGTTTCTCCTCGGAGATTTTGCACTATCTGATGCCTTTTATGGCAGTGCTATTTGCATTTATTCCAACATGCCTGGTTGTTTTAACCACCGTTTGTTTGCTGATTGAAGCCAGAAAAGTTGTTACCCGGAGCAGAGAAAGTTTGAAGTGGCAGGGGATCGTGACAACAGTCCTTACAGCCACAGTCTTCTGCTTGTCTCTCCTACCATATGTTGCTTACCATGTTGGGGAATCCATTGTTAGTGTTGATGACAAGAGCAAGAGTTCATTCCACACCACGTTCTTTAGAGTTGCACTGTCGCTCCTGTCTTTAAACACCATCAGCAACTTCTACATTTATAGTCTGGCCGTTTCTAGCTTCAGAGCATTTATCCGGTCAAAGATGCAGCTGTCTTATCAGTACATAACCAACGTGGAAACTTCTACAAGTCATGGTATTCAAATATTGATATATGAATGATGAATATTAATTAATACTATCGATATTTATTTATCAACATAATTGTCCTGACACAGGGATTTTAGTCGAATAGCTACAGATATTTTACCATGAAAATGAGGTTTTCATACAGTTTCTTTTTTCAGGAGGAAGAGCGAGTGGCACAGCAAACACAGAAGCGAACACTGGAAACGTGAATGAAAGGAGACGGGAGCCAACAAACACCAGTTTGATTGTGATACGGTGACCCAGAACATTGTTAGAATAACTAAAATACCAAAAGAAGCTTTTAGTATTATTAGCACAATATATTCAATTACAAAAACAATGTCTAATTTTGATATCTGGAGTGGTTGTAAATTAAAATCTTAACTTAATTACAAAATAAAATAAGCGCAAAATACAGCTTATTACTCCTACATCAATATGTCGGATCTTATGATTGTTACTTTGCTATGATCACAATGACAAACATTTGTTAATTTTAAGTCAGCACTCAGCAGAATTTATTTCAATTCTGGTATTACTTATACGTGATTTTTGTTAATTTGTTCTCCCCGTTTTCATTATTGCTCCATATTCAGGGATTCTTTACAACACATGATTGTGATTTTGTTATATTTAAACTTTTGGTATCAACGAAGTTTTTTAAATTAACTAAAAAAGTGGCCATGGAATGAATAATTTTGGTTTCTGCGATTGTGAAAAATTAAACAGCCTTACAGATTCTGCTGCTCAAGAAAACTATCTGCCGCTCCAATTTGACACTTAGAACTACAATAAGTCACCTGTCAAAAGTCGATGCCAAGCTTCATTACCTATTTCAGTATTTCTCGTAAATTACGGAGGCTGCAGCATGGCAAAAAGTCCTGCGTTTGGCATTTGACCAGCCGACAAAAAGTATTTTTTGAAGTTATAGAAATGAAGTGTTTCTTGGGAAATGATAGTAAAGTAGTAAAGAGATGAAATGGAGGTGAATTAAAGTTTTACGGTCACTGGTGGATCACTCAGGTATTTTCAATTTAAGCTACCGATAACATTATTCAATTGTTTGCTATTTATTAGGTTTTCTAAAACTAATATAGTTTTATTTGTTCAAAATTAAATAGTTGAAGGGGTGGATTTGTTTTCAGAGTTACAATTTTACAATGATCTGCTGTAAAACTTCCGTACAATTAAAATTAGTTCAAGATGATGGAGATAAGATAAAATGAACATAATATATATTCAACAAGGATAAATACGTATAAAAATTTAATTTAAAAGCTCCACATATCGACTCTTGAGCCCCTACGATTCAAATGGTTGGCCGACTCAGTTCTCGATAAATAGCCACAAAAGCTATAATTCACATTTGAGTACTCTAGTAAGATCTTAGTGTGGTTACTAATAAACACCAAAAGATAAGTTCTCAAGTTCTGCTTGCTAGTGTCTAAGTTTGTCAGTTCCCTCGCTCATAATGTCGCACACAATGTCGCACAATATGCCGCATATGCCGCCTCAATATAAATATTACGTTAACAGTTCTCGGAGTGGACATCATTAAAAGTGGGTATCCTTCCCACGTATTAAAATCGGAAGCTCGCTGAATCTCGCGTATCTTTTTTGGTGTAATACATGGTTCGTCTCACCTCAATATTTAGGTAATTAAACTTTGATTTTCGATTACGAATCTTTTCACAGACTCCGCAAATCCTGAAAATAAATCATAAATAGATAGATAAGATAATGCTTGTTAGACTCTACATAATCAATTTTGATGGTTATTATTTGTTCTCACGTAATAAAAATTAGATTAATAGAACAATTGTAACCTACCGCAATTGTTAAATGCGAGTTAATGAAGTGGTTAACTTCATTGTGAAGAAACGAAAATTGTCATAACTATGAACAAAATACAAATCATTGATATATTCAACAGAGTTTATAAAAAATATTACAAATAGTAATTGTTTCTTAAAAAATGGACAATAAAATAAAAATTATTCTGTTGAAAAACCAACAAAATACGAAAGGATAATGAAAAGCTTACTTTGCAAAATATGCTCAGCTGTGATAGTTAGCTGTAGTGGTTGTTGTAGTGGTTGCTAGAGTTAAACCCAGCATTTTCTTCGTCCACTGCCATAAAGGTAGTCTCCACCATCTCGTGTTGTCCATCTGAAAATTAACATCATGATAAACTGATCATTCCTTTACTCATAAAGGTAGTCTCCACCATCTCGTGTTGTCCATCTGAAAATTAACATCATGATAAACTGATCATTCCTTAACTCATAAAGGTAGTCTCCACCATCTCGTGTTGTCCATCTGAAAATTAACATCATGATAAACTGATCATTCCTTTACTCGGTGGTTGTGCAACTTATCCAAGTTATATTAGTAGCATTGCAGTACCCAGGTAGGATTAACTAAGCTTTAGATTAGTAGAGATTAGTAGCATTGCAGTACCCAGGTAGGATTAACTAAGCTTTAGATTAGTAGAGATTAGTAGCATTGCAGTACCCAGGTAGGATTAACTAAGCTTTAGATTAGTAGAGATTAGTAGCATTGCAGTACCCAGGTAGGATTAACTAAGCTTTAGATTAGTAGAGATTAGTAGCATTGCAGTACCCAGGTAGGATTAACTAAGCTTTAGATTAGTAGAGATTAGTAGCATTGCAGTACCCAGGTAGGATTAACTAAGCTTTAGATTTATTCACTGATTTTCGAACATATTAGTTTAAAGGGATAATACTTGAAACTTTGCTTAAAGTTCTTATATTATTATAAATAGGCAAATAGGTACAATCCTGACCGGCTGTTACGGTAACAGCCCTCTAACAGCCCTCTAACAGTCACTTATAATAACTATGATTAATACCCCGACCTAATTAAGCCCAACTCACGAGTTTCATTTTGTTCAATCACGAGTTTTTCCTTATTTTCACTAATTAATTTCCCTCACTATTTTCACTAATTGAGGAGACCATTAGTGAGCATGATCGGCTGAGCTGGGGAAACATTTCAACTATATCCTATATTTTCCTGACCACTTATAAGTAGCAACATGTCTCCAATTTTGTCCACGACCCTACGTTCCCAACAAAAACTCGCATTAAACCTTTCACGATTTGCTGGTACTATCTTACTATTGCACTCTAACTGGCAGCTGATGAGGTTCTAAATGTTTTCTGGCATCGTTACTTGGAGTTGATGAAACTTTGAATATATTCTGACATGGTAAATTCCAGTTAATTGAGTTCCGAGTAGAATCTAAGTATGTGCTTGAGACTTTGTAGTTGGGCGTTGGCACCGCTACTCAATTTGAAGTCTGCAAAGTTTTTAAGGAGTTAAGGCTTTCTCCTATCATTACTTGAAGCTGATGAAACTTTGCATATATTCTGGCATACTAATTCGAGGTTTTTAATTGAACTCTGAGTTTTATATCATCTTCTGAGTACCTAGAATGTTACAACTTTGTACGTGACCGGTCAAAGTTCTAATACTGTTAAGGTGTTATTGCCGTACCAGCACACGATGATCTATACTCCTTTTTGTCGTACAATTATGATAACTATCACTTTATCAGGGTATTTAGTTGAGAAGAATTGGAAAGATCATGTGATTTTACTGATTCCAGATTACGAGCACAGGTGATTGGAATAAGTCTTAGAGCACAAAAAGTTTGATAAACTCACTCTCAAGTGACCTCCCCCTCCTCCCCCTCCCCCTCCTCCCCCAACAAGGTATCTTAAAAACCACTTACTTTCCATGTCATCATCTTTAGTGAGGAGGTCTGTTTGTCCGTCTCCGTTGTTGGTATTATTGGTGTGTCTCATCAACTTGTTTGCTCCGTCCATCACGACCTCCTGGGCTTTCGAGGTCAGTTTCCTTCCTTTTGCTTTCAGCATCCTAAGAGAGTTAAAAACGTCCAAAAAAACAAACTTAAAGTTGGCGTTACTTTTTTTATAAAATTCAATCGGAAAATCATATGTCTTGCTTTATAAAATTCAATTAGAAAGTCAAATCGAAAGGTCAATCAGAATTTCGATATCATGTCCGCCACGAATTATCGGTGCACTGTAAGAAGGATATCTACAATGTATTAAAGTATTAATATTGTACACAATATGTCAATATTATTAATATTGTCTGAAGTTACCTGGTATGAGCTGCAGATACAGACCGGATAGCATTGAACACTGAGGTCACTAACGTCAGACCTGTGGAGAACGGTATTATTGGAAACGCTGAAAATCAGCGGAGTGCTGCACACAAAAACGTAAAATCAAATGCTGTGAGCTGTCAACCAATAAATACGTATTGCCGCAAAAGGGGGACGAGGCAAAACACAGAGGAGAAACAAAACAAGAAAAAAGAAGAAACAAAACAAAAACCCACCAATACAAAAGACGAACAAGACCCGGATAAGAACGAGGTGGTTAGCCTCCGTCATGGAAATGTCACCCAGTCCCACCGTGGTCAGGGTGATGACGTAGAAGTACATGCACTTTACGAAGGAGTCAGTTGGGTTACTATTGTTCAATATCTGAGGAGGAATTAATTTTTTAAAGGAAACAAAATAGAATATTATACAAAATAGTTTTACAATCACAATGCTGGCAAGCATAACCGTTGCCCTTATATTCACAATACTATTTACCCCCTATACTATTATATCCCCTTTATTGTTTTCCAGGCATTAAGACTCATCGAAAGTAGTTCAGCAGGTATATTTAAGTTCAAAACATTCTAATTCAATGTAAAAATGACATGAATAAGAAATAGTTATGTGGAGGTTTTTAAGAAATTTGCGCAAAATACGCGCCAGCATGTTATACGAAATTAGGTAAAAAAACCAAAATCGCCATATTCAGGTGCCTTAAAAACCATGTTAAAATTGAGTTAGAGATCTGAAACTTTGCAGGGCGTCTAGAACTTGTCCAAATCGACTGTAAAAAAATGTCATGTTTCAGGAGTATCGGGAAATGGGTTTTCTGGAACCCCTGTTTTACAACAGATTGTCGTGAAGCATATATATATATGTATAGACGCTTTTGGCAGTCAATTGTAGCCTACATTTAAGTATCCGTAGATTCAAAAGTATAAAAGATACAGTCATTTCGAACCACAGGTTTTAAAGATAATTGTTTATACTTTAGTTTACATTATATCGAAAAATAATTTAACGTCATCATCATCACTTGATGACGTCATCAATTTAAGTGTTTTTAAAACTTGATTTTTGACAAAATAACAACTTTTCAAATCGATTTTTCACCATTAAAAAGTAATTTTATTCAAAATCTGAGGACATTTTCAACTTAGATAATTGTTCAAGCATTCTGAAAATCTACCGGAAAATTTTCCTACCTTGCTCCTTCATAAAGATATTTGCTATTGAAGTTAGTGCTTTTTTGAAGAATAATTTTTTTAAAACACAAACGTTGTGAATTAGTATTCTCTGATGTCGGGCCATCTCTTGGGTTGTGGAGCTCAATTTTGCTTCCTTAAGGTATAAATTGTGTAATAGGCTAGTTTTAAAGTTGAAAATCGAAAAGTTGCACACGTGAGGACACGCCCAAATTGATTTAAAATTGCTAAAATCACTGAAAATTGTTATTTTCACGATTTTTATCAACTTTGGAGTCCCGTTGTGATTAAAGTTCTTTTTTGAAATCTTCTGAAACTTTGCATGCTTATTAAACTATATATTAAATACCACTATGCAAAAATTTACGGTGATTCAATATTGTATGCGCACGCAACGTCCGCTCAAAGTTTGCACGTGCGGAAGGTGAGAATTTTGCTCATTCGTGATTTCGAATATATTCTGCTTTCCCACGATATTTAAATGGCATTATTTATGAATTAAATGCCAACTTGAATGAGTAAAAAGTGCCATATTCAGTCTGTTATCGACAGATATACCTACCTAAACACAAGGAAATGTTTTCAAAGGTAAAATTTCGAAATCGTTAAAATTACCTCCTTATTAATGAAGTTTCGACTGTGTAAATTATCCTGACATTATAATCAAAAAGAGATGATATTTGACCAAAACCCATAATCATGGGTAGAGTGAACCGCTGCCAGTGTCTCTCTTTTCCAAACAAAAGGAAATGATATTAATTTGAGGAACCGTCCGCAAATGCAAATTGATACCGAGAATGAAATCGCTCGCTCGCTTTTACGAATTGTAATAAAGCTTATTGAATGGGAAAAGCGAGCGACCGATTTCATTCTCGGTATCAATTTGCATTTGCGGACGGTTCCTCAAATTAATATCATTTCCTTTTGTTTGGAAAAGAGAGACACTGGCAGCGGTTCACTCTACCCATGATTATGGGTTTTGGTCAAATTAACATAATAGAAATAATCTCATCTGAAAACGAGCAAACAGTCCATAGGACTGAAAAAATAATTAATTTTCTTTCAATTCGAAAGAATTAAACTCGAAATTATCCAAGTTGGGTTGATTAAATTTGATTATTCTGATTTAATAATTTCAATTTAATTATTATAATTTAACCATTATGATTTAATCATTATAATTTGACTACTCTAATTAATCATTCTAATCTGATTTGTTCAACTTACCGCAGACCACATACAAATGAATACAATGAGAGCAAGCAGGAGAACGAAAAGAGAGAACACTCTCGTCGTCATATCTCGCAACTGAAATTAGGTATAAGTTAACTTCAATGGTTACAACAAAGGTTCTAATCTTATATAAATAAAACATTTTTTTTACTGAACTATGTACATAGTATGGGTTGACTTATTCTTATTTAGCAGTGCAAATTTTGGAATTTGGCCGCCAAATTTTTTTAAAGGCCTAACTCAAAATTCTGTCCCAAAACTTAAGGTCATGAGACAATTCTACGTTGATTCTGAAAATTTCATGAAAAAAATATTGAAACCCTATTGAGTTCTATTGTTTTGAGCAAAGTCAGTTTTGCAAATATCGCGAACTGAGATATGGGCAATTTTGCTCATTTTTTGCGATTATTTGAACACAGAATCCACAGTTAGGTAGATATTGAGCTGATAATCATAGAGAATGTGTAGTATAGGCTTACCTTCTATATAAAGCTGGTTTCATTCAAAAATATTGATATTTGACCAATTTATGGGCCAAAATCGATCAAATTTGGTGCGTATTCCCAAATATGGGCATATGGTTTTTATCCCATAACTCGGCCAATTTTTATCCAATTTTGATAAAACTTAATGTGTGTGTTCAGAAGACTAGTAGCTACAAGTAGAGCATCCCAAAGCATGGTTTTGGGCATGTTGAGGGTATTTGGCTAAATTGGGGCCAATTTGGACCGAATATGGGCGTGGCTGCCCCGCGGGCACTGTTTGGCTGTTGGGGTCCGGGACCCCCCCAAAATTTCGGTCACCGGTCCTAGTTTGTTGGTCAACTGGTATCTCGAAACCAAGTTTCACAAAAAAATCAGGGTGAACCCCCCCCCCCCCCCCCCTTAATACCCACAGTTTATATTCACTTGAATTATTGGGTACAATAATATGAAAGTGAAAGTGAAAGTGAAAGTGAAAGTGAAAGTGAAAGTGAAAGTGAAAGCGAAAGTGAAAATGAAAGTGAAAGTGAAAGTGAAAGTGAAAGTGAAAGTGAAACATTACTTACCTCAAACTGTCTGTTCACTTTAGACATTATGGTGGAGAATAAGTTGATACTGGCACTGAGAAAGGCAACTATTCCCTTAGAGAAGAGTGCTAGGTACATCGCCATTATGGGGATACCTGCAGAATTGAGTAAAAGTTAAAAGAGCAGTGGAAGTGAAAGATAAAAGTTACTAAGGCTATCTTTAAGCGAAACTTAAATTTTCGTGCTTTATAACCGTGAGCTTTAAGTTTTAACCGTGCCTTTATTTCGACTATTGAGCAACCCTTGAGTGTATAATTGATAGATAACCAAGGTGCCGAGTTTCAGTTAATGACCAAATTTGGTGATCTTACACCTGCGAGTCTTACTCCTTAGAGAGTCTTACACCTGAGAAATTCTTACACCTGAGTCTCATGCTAGACTTACCGACAACAGAATAACAAAGTGTGAACCACTTCCCGGCATGAGTTCGTGGTGACATGCTGCCGTAACCTGAGTAAATCTTGTAAGTAAACGTTTTAAAAGTATTGATTTTTTAGAATTGCTGGGTTGACAGTATGTCGAAACAGATAAGGGAGTTTATCTGTCAGAAAACGAGAAAAACCTTGATTAAACTGTAATTTAGCTTATGACAAGAGATATTGGCAGAAATTACAGCGAAATTTTGACATTCAGTCATTTTTTAAGGGGAAGATTAGAGTTGGCGTTGTTTTTTATAACTATCCCTTGTCTAGAAATTAATTAAAATGACTAAAAGAACGAAAAACCTTACCTATAGTGGTTAAAACAGTGGCACAGAAGTCTAAAGAGCTCCAAAAGTTCCACAGGTTCTTTTGCGTATTAACGTTGTCGAGCTTGAAGCACCGCGTTCCATGCAAACCTTTTAACTCCGCCCATCTATCTTCATCCCAGGCTGAAGATATTAAGAATTAGAATCAGAAATTATTTAAACATTCGTGGATATGGATACAGGTGGGAGGGTGAACCATGCTTGTTTTGAAACGTGACAGCGATTCTGGATTTTAGTTTGTCAATGATGGTTAATCGCTTTTTAGTGTAAGAAATGATTAAGCTCACCACCCGACAGTACCCAGAAACAAAACAATGATAGACCCTCTCAAACTTTCTACATTCTAAGCAAAAAAGGGGCTTTAATTTAAAAAACGAAAAAAAGGGGGCTTCATTAGTAACTTACGTGTCATTCCTGGAAGATGAGGAATCCCATCTTCATCGTTAGGGTCGTGGGTTTTATTAAGGAAATATTTAAAGTCACCTTGAAGTCCCAGGTATTTGCCGATCGCTTTTGATCTGGGCATTTGAGAGTTAGTTGTTTTTGATTTGATTTTATATTTTGTTTCCTTACACTCATACTTTGATAAAAACGTGAACCAAATTCATAATGACAACTTATCAGCACTGCTCGTCAAGCAGTTTTTTTACATCCATAGAATATAACTGATGATAAATAACAATAACTAATATATTAACTAATATATATATAATATATCGATAACTATATAACTAATATTAAATGATTTGATATTAGTTACCTATACAGTAAGAATAAATAAAATATATCTGAAACCACTCACCGATACTTCTCATTATTTTCGATAGACACAAATGCGAAAGCGCAGCCCGTTAAGAAGATTAAGTTGATGATAAGTAAGACGAAGGAGTTTAAAAGTGCTTTCTTTCCTTTGGCTGTTACTTTTCCGAAGAACCCAAAAATGGGGGGCATTCCCCGACTCTGAAAATAAATACTGTTAGAAGAAAACATATAGTTTTAGATTTTAACCATAAAATCTTGTTAAAACGTCAACGAACTAACGAGGGTTCAGCATGAAGTTTGTGTGATGGTTGATTTCGAGAAGAAATCAAGCATAACACAAATTGTTAGCTGAAACCCCCCCCCCCCCCCCGCCTCTTCCCCTCCTCGTCCCCTTTATGCAATTTTCCGTTCCATGCAGTGGCTCATGTGTACAGTTCATGGATTGTTAAGACAAGGTAAATTTATCTAAACGATATTGTCTAGACAATTTCTTAAATAATTACGAACCCTATAGATAATTATTTGTGTCTTTATTTATGATTTATTTATGTCGTTATTTATGATTTATCCTGAATTATTCGGCGGATTTCGGTCATATCGACGAATTATTTCTGTGCGGTTATCGTTTATTTTTACTAGCAGGAACCCGTCTAACCCTAAAGTGGTGTCAAGACTCAAGAGACTTAAATAATTATTACCTATTTAATTCGCGTTTTTGACACCACTTGGGGGTCCAAATTTTGGGCTCTAAAACTCCTATTTCTTGGCCAATTTTTTATTATTTCATGCTGATTTGAAGGCCATTAAAGCATTTGACCCAGTCAAAAAAGTTTCAGTTGTATATCTTTTACGGTTTTTGCGGAAAGTCGTGTTAAAGTTGATGCCGTGGTGTCAGTAAAATGGCACGGATAAATAAATATATATATATATATATACAATGAAAACAACGATTCTACAAACTCAGAGTTTCATGCAAATGCAATCGTCAGTGTTAGAATAACTTACTAAATTAATAAATCCATGTTTTCCTTACAAGCTCCTTCATAAAATTAACTTAACTAAACTAAATCAAAAACAAAATCAAACGAAACGAAAGGAAAATGAAATACAAGAACAAAAACTAAAATTAAAATAAAATATAATATTCCTAAAAGCATTTCTTCAGCATAAACTTGTTGGTGTGCCTACATTTACTTATGAGTTCCCTCCTCCTATTTAATAGATTGCCATCTGAGTTTGTAGAATCGTTGTTTTCATTGTACAATGCTCCCCTCCCGGGTAGAGCACTCTTGAAACTGGATTTCTCCAAAAAAACATCATATATATATATATATATATATCGTCTCGCTTTATATATAGTAAGATAATGGTTTTAAAATATCTATTACCTATTATAATAATAGCAGAGATCTAACTGGTATTTGTTTTGCCGGTAGGATTGATTTGATTATTATCATGATGACCTGCATAACGGATATATATGTATATTATATATATCCGTGAAAGATCAGAAAAGTTGTAAAATATCAATATCATCTACAATTAATTAATTAATAAACATAATTTATGATTAATTAATTAATATTATTCATAATTGCACCTCTTCCTCATCTTCTGGAGTTATTTCGTCAGGTAAACCAAGTTGTATAGAATTCTGAGCCGAGAAAGCCACCAATGCTATCGAAGAAGGAGGTTTGAATTTGTAAAACAGTTTTGGTGGTAAAACTGACTCCAGAAACCGGTGGTCGGATTTTTTTCGTTGGATCATAGGTTGTAAGATTGGATTTTCGGCTGGCTTGGGAGGATTACACGTGGAAATTCTTCTATTCTCCGACTTCAGTCTTTTATGAATCTTGAATTTTTGGTAAGCTGTTGCTGCAAATCCTACGATTCCAAGTGAGTATGATTTATTTGGGATATCAACTTCATCATTTGATAACAGTGTATTCCAGCTGAACCTATAATTTGACTTTGTCGTGTTTTCTTTTACAGTTCCTATGTAAGAAGGAATGCTGACAAATCTCCTCTGGAGGGCTGTAGGACGTTTCGAGTGGTTACTATGGCAACAGTCTGAGTTTTGGGGAGGAAGTTTTGTTTCTAGGATGACAATAGGACTGCAACCTCTGTTTACGAAGGTGGGCTTGAAGGCAATCTGAGCTCGGGACATTGGTCGGTAAAGGGCTGAATCACTGTCACATCGGGAGAGCTCGGAGATGTTGTTGCATGTGTTATGGTTATCAGTTGTGATTTCTTCAGGAATTGGAGAGTTTACTGACATCATGAGGTTACTTTTTGGTAGCTGCAAATCAGGAAGCGATATGACTCTGATCATATCTGAACTTGATTTCGTTGACTTTGAATCCAATACTGATTTATGGGACTGTGATTTTTTGCAACATTTTGGACAGCAATTGGTGAAATGCTTTGCAGATGAAGTTTGGTCAGGGTAGTGATCAGTTGAAATCGGGCCAATGCTGGGAATTGTTTCACTTGGAATCATTTCACTTGGAGCTGTTTCACTTGAAATCGTTTCCCTAGGAATCGTTTCATTCGGAAATGTTTTCACTTGGAGCTGTATCAGTAGGGATGGTTTCTGTTATATCTGTAGTAGAACCATGCGAAAACCCACCTGGAGACAGATCATCAGTCTTCTCACTTGCAAAGGATACCGGTGGAGGCATAATTACCCTGTCAGAACAGATAAAACGTCGCTTCGATATCAGATTCTTATAGCTTGGTACTGATGGCTTCATTTCCGAGAAAGATCTAGAGGTTTCATAATATCTGGAGTACTGTGTGGTGTAGCTGTTTTCTCTCTTTCTGTGAGAGGGACCGGGACACATTTCGGAGAAATCACTTTGGGTGCTGTTTGAGTCTTCCAAACCTCGACCCATACGTCCAAAAGATGCCAACGGGTCAGCCGAATACGAAGCCTCGCTTTGAGTTTGTTCTTCCGAATATTTTGTGGGTGGGTATGAGGGTAAAAACTCATGAGATGAGAAAGTCGGTGGAAGAGAAGATGAGAAAGTCGGTGGAAGAGAAGATGAGAAGGTCGGTGGAAGAGGAGATGAAAAAGTCGGTGGAGGAGTTGGGGAACTTTCAGAAAATCTGGAAGTGTCGATAGTAATACTTGTAGACGATATTACGCTATGTTTTCTAGTACTTGTATAAGAAGACATAGTGCAGGTGTATACTTTAACCAGGAGAAGCAAGTTTTACAGAACAAACTGCAGATTAAGCAAAATACAAATATGAAGTGAACTCAACCATCGGGAACTTTTATCTTGCACAAAAACTGTTATGCTGAACTAAAAGACTAAAAGACCGAAGAAAACTAAACTGTCAACTTCTCTGACATTCCCAGCGAATATATTATCATCAAATGTTGACTGTTACAAATAAAACATTTTTATTTTGGGAAACATTGCGATTATGTCTAGGATTTGGTGCTTAGAAGTAGTATGGTCGGAAATGTTTAGCAACTGTGGTGAGAAGGTGATTAGATCGTAAATAGAATTTTAATTTTTTAAATAGTAATTTTATCATAGCACTGATAGTACAGTCAAATCCGTCCTTATTTGAGCCTTTGTCGGACAAAATTCGCAACAAAGCGATTTTAACGGGATATGGTCGGGACAGGTCCCAGGAATCATTCCAGAAAAGTCCCAAAAAATCTGACTTGAGCAAAATCCACAATTACCACTTTTTTACCACCTTTTTACCACTTTGGTTTTCCGCAAATAAGTCACGTTCTGAATATCTTAGAAGATTCTAGTTTAAAGCAGTGTGTTTAGGAAACAAAGGAGAACAACTTTTTCTTTAACAACTTTTTCAAAAATAAATTATTTAATTAATTAATTAAATAATTAATAAATTTTCAAATATTTAAAAAATATATTTTCATAAAAAATGTTCACAATTAAATTCCACGTATATTGAACTAATTCTTATAAAAAATTTGAAAATTTTCACTTTCAATATTTTGGACTTGTAAAATTTGTAAAGAATAACTAAACCACTATTTACCACTTTTTACCACATTGGATCTCCGCTAATAAAACGACTTCTGAATGTCGTAGAAGGTTCTAGATTGAACCGATGTGTTCAAAATATAAAAGAGAACAACTTTTATTCGCCAACCTTTGGATAAGATAATTAATCGATTAATTAATTAGATGATAAGTAAATTTGTAAAGAATAACTAAACCACTATTTACCACTTTTTACCACATTGGATCTCCGCTAATAAAACGACTTCTGAATGTCGTAGAAGGTTCTAGATTGAACCGATGTGTTCAAAATATAAAAGAGAACAACTTTTATTCGCCAACCTTTGGATTAGATAATTAATCGATTAATTAATTAGATGATAAGTAAATTTTTAAAAATTTCAAAAATATAATTTTTACCAAAAATCTTTGCCGTGACGTAAAACGTAAAATGAATTTACTTGAATAATAGAACAAACACCGTCACATAGATTAGATAACAGATAAAAAGAGATGCAGATAAATGGAATAAACGGTAAAATATCCAAATTTGTACAATACTATTAATATTATATTATAGATAATAACTATTTACACATCATCTCTCGACTTAGTGTTGTGCTTTTAAACTAGATTGTTAAACTGGTTCGTTTGGAAGCGTAAGCTTCAATATTTAATTTAAGGAATGAATCCTGGCATCACCAACCAGCGATGGAAAGTGAAAGCCCTCCAAGAGTCTATCAGCTCCAACCCGATCCACACTCCTTTCTTCACCTTGACGGAAACCCACCTCATGTCGTATCACTTAGATGCGGAGGTTCACATCCCAGGTTATACCGGCTACCGAGCGGAGCGTACCAGTCGAGCTTGTGGCGGAGCCGCTACCTATCTCCACAACTCCATCACAGCAGAAGAAACAAAGTCCTTCTCAAACTCCTACTGTGAACTCGTCGCCATCTACAGTAAAGAAGCTAACATCGTGATAGCGGGCATTTACCGGCCCCCTTCAGCTCCTTTTGACAAGTTTGATGAATGCCTTTCAAATTAAAACGACATCTGCCCCTAAAAGTGCGACTACAACTCTACCATAGTTTTATTGAGGCACATGTTAACTACTGCTCGTTAGCCTGGGGATTCGCGGCAAAATGTCACATTGAGACATTATTCCGTAGACAAAAGCAAGGAATGCGGATGGTTATGCCAGGATAT